CACCCCTGTGTCCCCTGGTCCTCCCCTGACCCTCAGAGTCCTCAGGAGGTTTGCAGTGTCCACTGGATTTTGGAAGCACTGCATGTTGTTGCTCAGCTGCTGCGTGAATGGCCAATATAACTGTTTATTGTTCTCTTACTCTGCCGCACACAATTCTCTCAAAATCCCTTCATTTTGTTGAAAATGGCTGCATTCCACCTTTTCAAGGCTGTATAATACTCCAGGGTATGGCTAGACCACATCCTCTGGGGCCATTCATCTGTCTATGGGCATGTAGGTGTGTCCGTGTCCCCACAACTGTGGTGGCTGCTGCGTGGATGTCGGGGTTTTCACGCCCTGTGGGTAGAGGCCCAAGGGTGGGACTGCAGGGCCTCCTATCATTATGTATGTCCGAGGTCAGGCCTGACTGCTTTCTGTAACCAGCTGACATGCCCACTGAGGCCAGGGCAAGTTAGGGTAGATTCGGCAGCTTCAGGGACAGCACAGGCAGGGACTTGGGGAGAGGCTCCAGAGCAATAAGGGCAACAAATTCCAAAGGGGGGTAATCACCCCAGGACCAGGGACAGTGGATGTTCCTGGACAAGGCAGTAAGGAAAAGTGTGCTGAGATCAGGGCTGGGACGGAGGCTTAGTTCTGGGCGTAGACATGACGGCAGAGTGAGCGAGACCACGGAGAACTGGCCAATCCCAGAGAGACTGACGGGCGTGGGGATAGTCGGGGAGAAGGTCTGTGTTCCCTGAGACACGGCTCCACTGCGGCTCCCTCGGCCCTCCCTGGCCTGGTCCCACCGGCCTGGGGTCCCACTGTATGTTGATGAGAAAATATATTATTGAGCAAATGAATGTAATGACGATTCCGGCAGAACCTCCAGCCCAGGTGCAAGGAACACTCCAGTGCAGGCGTCATCACCAAGTGTGCCCACAGCTCCTTCCCTTTCGAGATTCATGGCCTGGGCCTCGCACTCTTATCTACAAGGTCGGGCAGCCAACGAGCTGATCTCTCTCTCCAAGGCCGTCCCTGAATGCCTGCCTCTCCCCCCCTTGCCTGGCCCCCTTGTCTGGGGACTTTGCCGCAGATGGTTGCGCCTGCTGGAAAGCGATGCTGTCCATGTAGCAGGTATGGACACGGTTGTGTCTAAAAGGAACCTTGGTCTTTAAAGGGTGCTCAGACCTCACGGGGCTGCCCCGGTCTGGGACCTCATGCCTGAGTCATAAAGCTTCTCCTGACCTCACCGTTCCTGAAGCACCGCTTCTTCTTCCCCGGCCTGGGGAAAAGGCTAGAATTCATTTCTCCAGCAATGTCTGTTCCTTTTCTCCCTAGTAAACTTTCTCTTTCTCTAAACAAACCTGCCTCTTCTCTCTTGCTTGCCTGGCATCTGCAAAGTTCCTGCTGAGGCTTTTGAGACACACCCGTGGTGGTCCAGGGCCGGGGCTCAGCGCTGCCCCCACAGCCAGGGGTCCGTTCCTGGCCGGGAGACGAGGCCTGAGGACCGGGCATCACGCAGCACCACCACCAGCAGTGGAATCGGGTTCCTCTACCACCTGTGACGGTGACTGTACATTTGGCCTTCAACCTAAAGAAGGAACATGTACCTTTTCCTAGAAGGGAAACTAACTCGTCAGATGGATTTTGGGTCTCTATCTTGAAGGCCAAAACGGGAGTTCCTGCCGCGGGTGGGTGGAGAGGAAGCTGGCCAGAGACAGGGGTCTCTTTGACCCCACGGGCTCCCAGGGAAGCCTGAGCCAACACGCACGGGACGCCCCTTTGGTGGTAAGGGGCCCCCGACACGCGCCCAGGGCCACGCTGCTGGGAGAAGAGCTGTTATAGAGCAGCCCCGATATTAAACGGGTTCCTGGCTGTGGGTCCTCACCCGCGCGCTTTAAAGAGACTTATGAATACTCTACTACAGACACACACAAAAGGGTTAATAAAAGGTTTATTTACAAGAGAAAAAGAAAATAAGGAAAAGGTACAACTCAGGGAGAAAATAGGGAAATAAAGTCTTTAATGCGTCCTACCCGATCCGACGACCTGGAAACCCAAAGTCACTCTCAGAGCTGGCCGGACGCTGCCAGCTGGCCAAGAGCCCAAAATGGAGAGAGCCCCCAAAGCCCACGTGTCTGCCTTTTGTATCCACCTGGCTGCTTAACCCCACCCTCAGGTCCCAGCCACCTTCCCTTGGGTGGTGACGGGATTTGGAGTTCCCAGTGTCTTTGGCTTTGGCCTGGGGTGGGGGTGGAGTCCACAAAGCCTATATGGAATTTGCTTTGGGACATCCTTTTCCCCCTAACAATTCCCCCCTTTCACTTGTTGCCACCATTTCCATGGTGATGAAGATCGAATATATGGAGGTTGGGATGCAGTCTCAGATGAACATTTTGTCAGGTTCCAGTGTGAAAGAAAACCAGTCTCTCCAGGTATTTGTCCATTGTGGAAAGCAAAAAAAAGTCCTCCACTCCAGGAAAAATAGTTCATCAGTTTAAGCCAAAAAAAAATCTGGAGGCGTTAGCCAAAACAAGACAGCAGATATGTAAAAATTACAGGAAAAAAAAAATCTTAAAATGGTTCAACTGATGTAAAAAAAACCACAAATTTTCTCAACCTTGATCCCAAACTTTTAACAGCAAAGCAAAAGTTTGCAAACTAAATCTAATTTTAAACCATTTTTCCTATTTTTGCATAAAATCACAGGGCAGAAATAACTAACAGCAATTTTTAGCTGGCTTTGTTGAAATACTCCACACAGGATCAGAGCGAACCGGTGGCATCCAGTCGACGTAGGCTTCAGGTATAAAGTTGGTCTCATCAGACTCCACCTGGGCTTTCCTCTTCTCGAGGGTACCAGGGCATTTTCGTTGGCCGGGTTGTCCAGTCCTGCCAATGGAGGCAAGCTTCCTCACCTTCTTTGGAGGTCTCTGGAACCCTTCAGGCTCTGGGTCCTGCCCGGCCCAGGAGGCTTCTAGGTGCTTTTAAAGAAGCAATGTTGACACTGGCTGGGCCTGCTCAGTTTTGAGTCTTTGTTTCACTCGCTGCCCCCGCAGGGTGGACTGAAGGACAGGGTGACCCCCTGCGGGAACAAAAGGCTGGTCCAGGGAAGAATGCTGGGCAAGGGTTTGCCACTCGCAGCAGGACTCCTCTGTCCTCAGGCCAAAAGGCAGGGGAGCCCCTGAGGGAGGGCTGGCGCCCCTCCCTCCACCCCTTGTGCAGGTGGCAGGACACCCCGGTGGGGGCCTGATAAGGCCCGGAAGCATCACCATCTCAAAGGCTGCCTTTGTTCTTGAGTGGGATGGCTCAGCATCATAAAGACGCTGCCTTCCTTCAGTTAATCCAGCCATTATTTCTTGCAACTGTAATAAAGACGCCCACAGCATTTATCTGGAGCTAGACTAGACGAATTTGTGGTGACGTCAACTGGTTAAGGAAATCCTTAACCACGCCGGGAGACCTTGGCAGTGATGGGCAAGAGAAATAAAGTGATGGGGAGACCCAGCGCAGTGCAGGCACAGACCCCCAGTGGGAGGGCATCGGCCGGGGCACGGCCGCCTTCACGGCCAGGGCTGCAGCAGTGTGGAGGCTTGGCCTTCTGGCTGGCTGGTGAGTTTTGCAGCTGCCACATTCTCTGTCACCCACGTGCACACGCGTGTGCACACACACTCACATGCAGTCAGCTCCATCTCGAGTCTTTGACCCTATTTGCAGCAGCCCTCAGACTCCACTGGGCCACATAGCTGTTGGCGTCATTTGCAGATCTTGTTTATTTGTTTGTTTGTTTGTTTAAAGATTTATTTATTTATTTATTTATTTATTTATTTATTCATTTATTTATTTATACAACCGGGGTACAGGCCAGATGCACAGGAAGGTGAGAGGATTCACCAGAGACAGAGCAGGGATCAGAACAGGCAGACTGACGAAACACACTGCTGAAGGGAGCAGCGGGCGCGACAGGAGAGGTCTGCTGCGCTACGTGGGATTCTCGCCAGCTGGCCGGGATCAAACCAGCGCTGCAAAGGCTGCCCACAGCTTCACAGCGCTGCGCTCAACCGCCTGCGCCCCCAGGGAGGCCCAGAGGATCTTGTTTAAAGCCACACAGAGGGCCTCCTTGGGGGCGCAAGGGGTTAAGCACAGCACTGTGAGGCTACAAGCAGCCTCTGCAGCACAAGTTCGAGCCCCAGCCAGGGAGATACCCACAAGGCACGGCAGACCCCTCCTGTATCCCCGCTGCTCCCCTCAGCAGTGTGTCTCAGTGGATCTGCCTGTTCTGCTCCCCGCTCTGTCTCAGGCGGATCTCTCACCCCCCCACACCTCTGGCCTGCGCCCCAGCTCTTGTGTGCATAAACAAACAAATCTTTAAAAATAAAATAAAGCCACAGGGAGGCAGGTGGCCAGGCTGGGCTGTTATTTCTGAGCCCTCCACGGCTCTGAGTGAGCCCTCGGGCCCCTCTCCAGCTGTCGCGGACCCCTCACAGCAGGACCCGCACTGCACCCCCAGATCCTTCTCCTCCGAGACCTTCTCGAAGCATTAGATGGGTCCCAAAGTGCAGGCGACAATCTGAGTCCACGATTGTCAAAACGTACGTTGTCAAAAACGTCCTAAGGGAATATACACCTGCGTGGGGGGCGCCGCGGCTCGCGGAGAAAGCGGGGCGGGTTGCCCGCCTCGGGGCGCGCGTGGACGGGCCGTGCCCCCCGCGATCGGCCGCGCCTCCCTCTGCCCAGCCCCCCAGAAACACGGGCAAAAGCGCTGCCTCGGGAAGAAGGCCGGGCGGCCGCAGCTCGGGACAGGCATCAACACCCCCAAATCCTTGGGGACCGGACTAGCCCCCACTGACAGTTCCAGGAGTCCACGCGCCCGCGCGCGCACCGACGGGGCGCCAGCCCCGGGACTACGACTCCCAGCATGCCCCGGGCCCCCGGCCCCGCCCCCCGGGGCTGCTGGGAAAGGGGGCGGGGCCGGCCCGGCCGCTATAAAGGCCCCGGGAGGCGCGGCTCGGCCAGTCCTCGGCTGCCCGCCCGGCCGTCGGGCCACGGTAGGACGCGCTGCCCGCCCGGGGCCCGCGCCGGCGCCCGCAGCTCCCCGGCCCGGGCGTGCTCGTCCCGCGCGGGCTCGGACACGCCGCGTCCAGCCCGGGGCCACGGCGGGGTGCGGGGGGCGGCGCCCCGGGGGGCGGGCGCGGCGGGGGCTCGTCCGCGGCGCAGAACCGGGGCTGCCGGCGACGCCTCGCCGGCCGGTGTGGACACGCGGAGGGGTGGGCGCGTGATCACCCGAAAACGGGCTGGGCTGCAGAAGCCCCCCCGGGGTGGCACCCGCGCCCCTCCGCGTCTGCGCCAGGTCACCCCGCGTCTGGGGGCAGCTCCGGGGGACTCGGGGCGCCGCCGGCCGCAGCCCCCGGGACAGACGGGGTGGGGCCCGCAGGGGGGTGCCGGCGCCCCAGGTGCCCCAGGTCCGTGTCGGGGACACAGACAAGGGCGGGCCCCCCCCTACCCCCCCCGCCGGAGACACAGGCCGGGGGTGGGGGGCTGCTGCGGGGCGAGGGGCAGGTGCCGGGTCAGCCGGGCCCCAGGACGCGGCCGGGGATGGAGCCCGAGCTGCCGCCCGCGGTGTGGCCCCGAGGCCCCGAGAGACGGTGGGAGACGCGGGACCCCCTAGAGAGCCCCCCACTCCTGCTCCCTCGTCTCGGGGAGCCGCCCCGGGCTCCGCAGGCCGCGTGCCGGGTGGAGGTTTCGGTCCTGAGGTTGCGTTTCCCACCCAGGCCTGGAGCCCCGAGAGGCGGGAGCCGCGGCCGGCCGGAGGCCCAGGTCAGAGGGGGGAAGAGCAGGCTTGGGGGGGCCGGGCTCGTTTCCCTCCCCTGGGTGCGGAGCCGGCCACGGCCCACGCGAGCGGGCAGGAGAGGCGGCTGTCTCGGTGTGCAGCTTCGCTTCACTTTCCTTCACTTGACTCCGAGTCAGCAGGTGGAGCACCGGGCGGGCGGCTCCAGGGACCCGACCCTGACCTCACGCGCCCTGGAGCCCGGCCAGGCGCCTTCCCTCCGGCCTCCCCGGGAGCTTGCGGCACGCGGGCCACGGCCCTTCACTAGCCTTGATGTCTTTACGACAAGGGCCTCGGCACCCTGTGCCTGCGGAGGTGCCCCCGGGGCCGAGTTTCCCGGCCGGGCGGCCGCCGGTCGCCCACCCCTGCTGGAGGCGCCGTGCAGGTCAGGGCCGCTGCCGAGAGCCGGCCCTGTGGTCAGCCGGGAACCACCGGGCTTCTCCTGCAGAGCTGGGGTCATCACGCGTATTCGATGCCGCTGTGTGAAATGTAAGTTACCGGTCGTGACCTGACACGCGAAGGCCAGAAGCCGCCGGGGCAACCACAGCTCCGTTTAGACGTGACGTCAGGGCAAGTGTCTGCGGTGGCCGCGGAGCTGCTGGAATGTCTGCTGATTTGGCTCATTACATGGGTAAATAGTTTGTCCTTTCCGCTGTGTTTGCGTTATAAAGCTCCCTTCTGTGCTCCAAACGCGCCGCTCACCTAAGAACCGGCCATATTTAATGTGCACGTGTGTGTTCAGACACCGCAGTAGTATTTAAATTGGGATTCAAAGGGCGAGATCTTACCGGTCTGTAAGCCACAGACGAGCAAAATCGCGTCAGGTGTGCCTTTACCACGGCCCAAGGGCGGAGGGCGGCCTTTCTCGACGCGTGCGTGTGGCGTGGGTGAGCTTCCTGCACGGGGGATCAGAGCCGCCTGTCACCTCAGCCTTGCACCCCCCGGGGCTGGACGGCAGCTCTGCGGCCGGGGGCTGCTCCTGAGGGGTGTGACTGTTTCCTGGCGCCGCGGCCTGGAGAGCGAGGCACCTGCTCCGCCGCAGCTGAGGCGGCGAGAGGAAAATCCCAGAGCGGGCCCTCACCTGACATGGGGTGTGGCTTTGGATGGATTTAAAATCTTCCTCTTATTTACATAATTTGCATAATTTTAAAACCCAGTGCTGCCAGACTTTGGAAATGCTAATGTTCCCACTGAAAATCCCCACCGGTGGCTTCCCGCCGCTGGGGCTGCCCCAGCTTTTGGCCCACCCAGTGTTGCGACCCACGCTGGCGCCGCGGCCCCGCATCCAGGGCCTCCAGCCTGCCGTGAATTTGGGTCCAGAAGTGCTGGTTAGATGGCTCCAGAGGTGCAGCGTATATCTTGGCTGGTGCCGGCGTTCCGGGAAGGATGCCGACACGCTCTCCTCGCCGGGCCGGGCTCCCTCTGTCGGTGTGGCTGGGGGGTGGGGGGCGGGGGGGAATCCCTGAGCTTTCTGTGCCGAAGGCGGCTGTGGGGTCCTGCGCACACGTCACACCGCATGAGCAGGAAGATAAAATACCTGGAACTTGAAAAAAAAAGACTTTCATTTTCCCCTTGATTCTGATGTCCTTTGTCCAAATTCCCATGTGAGTGTTTCCTTCTTTGGGGGAGGGCAGCTAATGACGTGGTCTAATATTGGGGTGCTGGCCAGAGACTCGGGTGGAAGACAGCCCAGAGAGGGCGCGGGGGTCAGAAAGGCAGGTTCACTGATACACACCGCAAGGGGGCAGGGGCAAGGCGGAGAGGTCTGCGTTGGAAGAAGGGTTTGCGGTTCCTTTTGTAACTGTTTTCGTGGCTTATTTTTACATAGAAGAATTGGGGTGCAGGCCAGAGGTGCAGGGGTGAGAGGATCCACCAGAGACAGAGTGTGGAGCAGCAAAGGCAGCTCTGCCGAGGGGAGCAGCGGGGAGAGGTCTGCTGCACCCTGTGGTCAGCTCCCCTGTTGTGGTGACAGCCTGAGACTCACCCCGCAGCCCCCAGGGAGGCCTTTTCATAATGGGGAGTGGTCTCTGCGGGTCGCTCACTGCTGGGAGGGCAGGTTCTGGGGGGGCCCTCCCCACTGGAGGCTTCGGGCCCCTTGGGGCCTGGCGGTCTCCACCTTCCTGGAAGCTCGGTGGCCCCCTGCTGTCCACGTCCGGGCAGTGCCCAGTTTCCATGGCAACTCTGGTGTCCCCGTCTCAGCTACCCGGTGCCTCCCAGCTCTGCGGGTGAGCAAGGGCAGAGGCTGAGTGTTGTTGAGTGGGGCGCCGGCAGCCAGGGGCTCTGAGTCGCTGCTCTGGTCCCCCCCACCCCCGCCTGACTACCTGGGGCAGGAGGGGCGGCACTCGTGGGAGCAACGAGTTTGTGTTTTAAGGGCTTGTGGCTGCGCTTCTCAAGTGATAAATACAGTTTCCAAGAAAATTCCCCTGTACCTTGGCCTCAACGCGCATGTAGGCCAGAAGCGCCTCTTGTGCTCCTGTGTGACGTCATGGGACGTCCCAGGGCGTCACAGCGCGTGGTGGTTCCTGGTCTGCTCCCATTTGAATTTAGACCATCTCTGCGGTAAACGCAGGACAGAACTGCAGCACAGGACGCGGATTTCCCATTTTGAACTGTGGTATGATTTATTAGATACGGTACAGTACACGTTTATCATAATTCACACATCAGGACAATACATATTTTTTAATCCATGCATTCAAAAATTAAGGACATAGCAGACCTTAGGCAGTTTTATTGCCCAAGAACTTTTTGAAGTTTCGGTAATGGCCTGGGTTTTATTAAGACCGTGTAAGTTGAGTTGTGCGGCTCATTGGTTACACAGAGGCATCGGTTTACAGAGGACGGACTCGTGTCTGTCATGTTCTGTTTCTCTCCAGACGGTGGTCTCAGAACAGGCATTCACGTAGCGATAAAGAACAGCAGTTAGCAAATGAATCACATCCTCTTAAAGTGCGTGTTTTTGGTTAATGTGTCTAGATAGCCCTTGGTTATGAGATATATATATATATATATATAAGACACAGACACCTTCACGTGACCGAGCCCTTCAGTCCCGTGACCCAAGCACGAGGCTCTGGCCTGGCCACTTTGAGCCAATTCTGACCCAAGGAAACTCACAGCCAATAAGCAGCCTGACAGGCTCTAGGAGCCAGTCGATTTTTCTGCCCTTTATGAGTAGTTGCTTCACAATAGAAGGGTTTTCATTTGATTTAAATTTTTTAATTTTTATTTGATTTGGCTCTTAGTTTGTCCAGGTCGACGGGCTGTGAGTCAGAGTAAGTAGCCAGGTGGGACATTTGCCGCCTGCACAGTGTGTGTGTGTGTCTGCGTGTGTGTGCGTGTGCACGAGTGTGCACACTTGTGCACCACAAACCAAACCCGAGTCGTATCCGCAGCCTTGCAGGTGCAGCTGTGGACTTGACATGCCGGGCATGGCACTGGGTGCTAAGCCTTAGGTGAGCACGATGAGTGTTAGGAGCACAGAGCAGAATACCTGAAACAAGACTGTTCCAGAAAAGCCGCTGTCACAGTTTCCCGCCCCGACCCTGTCCCATTTTCCCTCTTTCTGTTCGTCTACGCCAGCTCACACTGGCTACCCTTGCCCTTTCGCCTGCTTCGTGTGACTGCTCGGGACAAGGACCATAGCCACGCTGGAGTGGACTTTGGTGGGACAGGGCACTTGGTGGGAGAGTCTGTGGCTGATGGGTTCAGCGTGAGGAGCAACAGGTAAGGGACAGCCTCCCCTGCCTGCGGCTCTCACTTGGGGGCGCGGAAGGGGGGCTGATTCGGACACCGCAGGACCTGAAAGGCCTGTCTCCCATCTGGCGCGGGGGGTCGACGCCATTGGGGTCTTGCGGAGGGAGGTATGGGGCCAGGGGCCTCACCCCATGGCCTGCGCTCAGTGCTGCTTGGAAAAGAAGCTCTTGAAGGCGCTGCTGTAGGTCTTGTTGAAAGCCGTGTAGATGAGGGGGTTGAAGAGGGAGTTGGAGTAGCCCAGCCAGAGGAAGATGCTCTTCCAGATGGCAGGGACGTCGCAGGAGCAGAGGGGGCCGATGAGCTCCGTGCTGAAGAAGGGGATCCAGCAGAGCACAAACACCCCGATGAGGATGCCCACCATGAGGGCCGCCCTCTGCTCCTTCTGCTCCCGCCACGTGTCCCCTTCGGTGTGGAAGGTGACCGTGGCCGTCCGGGCAGTGAACAGGGTCTGGGCCGGCTGGGCGGCGCCCTTCGCCTGGAGGAGAGAACAGAGGCTGTGAGGAGACGCCCCAGGCCTGCGGGGGTGGGGCCTGCACCTCCACTTCCAGAGCAAGCCCTGGATGGTACAGTGTGGGGAAGGGGCAGCAGCGCACTGTCGAGCCCCGACGTAGGACCCACTTGCCGATCTCTTTCTGCCCGTCTGGGGCCCGACTGGGCTGTCATCTAGAACAGGCACGAGTGGGACTCGCTGCGGGCATGGCAGCGGCGGGCGGTCATTGCACCCCGGGCATGGGCTTCCTGCCCCTTATTTGAAAAGTAGTGGAGCAGCAACTGTCGCACAGTTACAGAGGTCGCAGGCGTGGCAGCAAGAGCCTGTCACCCCGGGTCCCTGCAGCGCCTGTGGCAGGCAGTGCCAATCTTCCCTGCGCCCCAGCCCCCCTCCAGGCGGGATCGAGGTCACGGCCCCCGTTTGCTCAGTGCCAGCTGGGACTGCAGCCCCAGGCATGGAAGCACAATATTTAGTTTCACTTCTTAGCCCCAACGACATGGGGAACCCATTCATTCTCTTACTGAAGCTCCGCCTTAAAATGGCACCCCCTTCCCGGCGATGGAAGGATCCTGGCCCCGAAACTTCAGCTGCCGGTGCCCTCCTGCCTCCCAGCACGCAGCTCCCTCGGGGTGGGAAGCACCCCTGGATTCTCTGCGGCACAGCGGGCATAGGTGGGACTCCAGACGGCTCGCTGTCCAAGGCGGGGCTCGCAGGCTCACAGCCGCACTGCCCGGCTTCTGAGACTGGCATCCTGCCCTGCCCCCGCCACCCCGCGGCCCGCTGAGCTGTGCGCGGAGCAGAGCCCGCAGCCCCCGGGAGCCCCCATGGAGCCCAGCCCAGCCCAAGGCCACTTGCCATCAAGGGTGAGCTGCACCCTGAGCTCGGTCTATTTGTGGGGTTCTGTTGTCTCGTGGGGGTTCTGTTCTGAGGGGCATTTTCTTCCTAGCGCCTGACCCTGACAGCACCCGGTTGTGGGCGACCCTGAGCCGCGACCTGGGGCTGCCGCGTTGGGTGGACCCCACCAGCTGCGCTGTCACAGCTGGCTGGCCGTGCTGGTGTGTGGCCGACGTGGACATGTAGGGTTCAAGAGTTTCTGTAAAACGGGGGAAGAACCTGCGGGCTACAGAGCAGTTCCCGGCAGCCCTTCCCTCGAGCCTGTCCCGGTGAAGGGACGCAAGAGCTGCCGAGCCCTGCCCTTGGGTGTCTGAGCTGGAGCCTCCCAGGGCTCCCCCCCACCCCGGGTTCTCAGGAAGGAGCCCCTGGACCGTCTCACAGCAGACGCCCGTGAGCCGGGGCTGAGCGGCAGGAGCGCGCGCGCCTGGCTGGTCTCCGCCTGTGGGGCTGGCGCCGTGTCCCGGAGGGTGCTGCTTGCCAGATGCTTTTTGTGCCGTCGCCCGCCTTACTCTCCCGCTGCCGGCTTGGCTTTCGCAGTTGCCGGTCTAAGGGAAACAAATTGTGAGGTTTGTTTTGTCCTGGAAAGCCTGTTGTTGTTCTGCTGCAGGTTAAAAGGCAGGGCCTGTCGGGCACCGGTGTGATTGGCTTCTGGTCCAGTCCCAGCCCGAAGGCTGAGCCTGAGGACGGCGAGGGTGTGACCGAGGGGACAGTGACAGGCCGTGCTGGGGTCCTGGCAGGGCCCCTCCCGCCGCCTCCCAGCGCCCTGGCTGCTGCGCTGCGGTCAGGTCCCCCCTCAGCCTCTTTCTGGGCGCCCTCAGACACGCTCCTAGACGGCTGGGCTGGCTACCTCCGCGGCCTCTCTGGGGGGCACGATTTATCTAAGTCAAAGCCTCAGCTCTCTCCCTGAAGAATTTCTGTTTTTCTGTTTTAAGTCGCATTCTACCCCAGCTCCTGCGCTTCTCTTGACCCAGGCTCACCCCTACATTTTTCACTTAGGAATTTCTGACAAGTCAACATCCAATGAACAGATGTCAGAGAAGTTCTGGAAGAATTCGAGTCAGACACCAAGCAGTTAGCAGCCAGCGTCTGCACCGGCTCGGAAAGCCGAGACACGGCTCTCCAGCTGCGATGCGTCGACCCCCCGCCTACCTGCCGTGCAAGTCTAGGTGTCCTGTCCTCTGTTCAGGCTTATGTCACCTCCTGAATAAACTCTCCTTTCCTCAGGGTTTTCACCAGAAAATGGTTATAATTAAGAAATTTCCCCAAACTTCAGGGAGAAGAGGACAATTATTATAAAATTTAGAATTTTGCTAGAAAATTAAACAAAATTCTTCTTATCATGGACTACAGATTTGTACTAACTAGTTAAATTAATTGAAATCCCCCTCAGATGAGGGAAATATTTATAGGGATACAAAGAGTTCTGTAACCCATCTGGGAACATTTTAAAGCATAAAAACGTAGGATTCATGACATGAAAGCCATTTCAGGAGCCTTTCTTTTAAGAGATGATTTGACAAAGATTCAAAATTTTAAACTAAATAAAGAGAGAAAATAGACTGGAGAAACTTTCAGCAGCACGCTGGCGCGCTTCGACGCCCGGGGTATGGAGCGTTGCCCAGCCCTGCTGTAAATGGGCGCAAACCCGAATCCAGGAAATTTAATAAAAAAATTGCAATGTGAAATTACCAATTTAGAAGATCCCCAATAAGGGGCTACACCTTTCCAGGCATCCTTAGAAAGCAAATAAGCTAGAAATCAATATAAGAGGGCGCTTTCTAGATAAAACATCCAGAAAGACCTCGCGCTCCAAGGTTTGGGAGCGAGGGTAGGAAATCTGTAAATGCTGCCAATAGGAAAATCCTGGAAAGAATCAAATCCCGTGTTGGTTCAAGATCGAAACGACAGCTCTCTAAAGTCTGTCCAGTGACGTGTCTCCTGGGGAAATCTCAATCACCCCTGGCCAAAGCCCCCTGCTCCAAGCCTGGTAAACCTCCAAGGGGGAGCCGTCTCCAGTAACAGTTGAAGGACGAGACAGCGTCCTGGTTTATATAACTGTAAGGACCATCCTGCCCCCACCACGGAACAGCCAAGCCCTCAGCCTCGATTTTTTAATTTGTCTGAAAAGGAAAACAGACCAACTTACAAAAAAAAAAAAAGAACAGAAAGATTGATTACAGCAGATGCCGAAAGAGGGTATGAAAGACACCTGTGGCTGTGTGCCGTCCAAAGACTGGCGGGAGAGCTGACCGTATTAAACAGACACATTCAAGCAGCGGGGCTCGAATAACCTCATTGCCCGGTGGTGACTGGGTCTCATGACCCCTGTCAGGAGGACACTTTAGCTTCTGCCCAGATCTACGAGTGTAACAGGTCGACGCTTCCCCCGGGGGGTCGTGGCTGCTGCCTCACACGCTGACACAGATTATGGCTGAGTCGACACGAACACCCCGTGTCGTTCCCGACACTGCTCCCAGCTCCCAGTGCTCCTAGACCCTTTGGGGCCAAGCACCGCAGACAGAGAGGCTGATCTGCCTGAGTCCTCACTGACTCTTCCCAGACAAGCGTTCTCTGTCTTCTTGTGCAAATACGAAGATTCTGGGCCGTGATCCGGATGGATCAGCTCAAAAACACAGCACCTGGAAAGAAGTCCTGCTGTGGGAACCCACCCTTTCCTTTAGCAATCAGGGTTTTCCCTCCCTGCCGCAGAGAAATTGCAGGCAGCACGTCACTCAGTCGGCGCGCCTGCCTCCGGGCTTCTCGTCAGCCTCGAGTCCTGTGTCGTGCACAGCGCAGCCCTGTTGCTAGCCAAAACCACGGAGTTTTCCCGCGGGTTGGCTCACGCTGATGGAGCCACGCCGCCCCTCCTGGGGGCACCCCCTCCCACGTAAGCCCGTGCACGCGCCCCAAGCACTGGCTGGCCCTGGCCGGCGCCACCGACGCTCACGCAAGTCCCCAGGCAGCGGAGGAGAAGCTCCGTGCGTGTGTCTGTGACTGAAGTGTCCTCACCCCTAGCAGAATTTTTACTTCCCCCCGCGCCAAATCCCAGCTTGATGTTGTCCGTCGGTGGTACCTCTGGCTCCGAGTCTGCGGGGCTGGCTGGGGTCACATTTTGTTCCCGACCCTAGAAAGACAGCCTGGAGCTGCCAGCGGGGATTTGCCTCCCTCCCTCCCTCCCTCCCTCAACTCCTCGGGGGCAAAGATGGCGGCGTGTCCTTCTGTAACCCCCTGCTCCAAACCTGTGCTCAGCTGCCCAGACCCAGTAACAGCCGCAGGGGCTGCGGAGATTCCCGGCAGCCCTTAAAGATGTAAATTAGGCTCAATTCAGTTCCCTGGCTCTTGGAATCAGGGGACAGACATTCAGGCGTTGACGCCTGCAGCCATGTGTGGGTGGGAGATGAGGCAGCTGCATCGTTGCCGCGGTGCTTGTGGTGCACGTAACGCGCCCGCAGGAGCTGGGGATGGTCTGCTGGGGCTTTCCACTTCCTCCGGGAGCTCTGCCGGGGTGTGTGGGGGGCAGATAAGTGGTCCTTAGCTGCGCGCACAGCCTGGCTGGGTGGGGGGAGACCTGAAGGGGCGCCCGGGCAGAGGAGCAGCCAGCAGACGCCGGCTTGGGGGTGGGTGTAAACCCCTTCTTTCCCCCCTAAATCAGGAGAAAAGGAAGCTGCAGAGTGACAGTCACCCGGGAGACACCATATTTTGCAAATTTAGCTGCCATGATTTGCACAGCACCAGACTGGGCTGAAACCTCCATCTGCTCGGTCTGCGCCAGGCCCCTGCGCCAGCCACCCTCTTCCCTGCACCCTCCCCCTGCGGCGAGCCCCGCCAGCCAGCGTGGCGTCAGGGACGCTGCAGACCCCCAGAATTTCCGAGTGAAACGGGATCGCAGCGCGGCGTGCAGACCCCCGGTGTTACCCAGGCAGCCCCCGAGACGGCCCGTCCGTGGCTCCGCTGCGGCGCGCGCCGGTGCCCAGCGCTGCCCCCGCGCGCCCCGACGCGCGCCCGCGCTGTCCAGCTCTTCCTCTCCCTTCCCCGCTAAAAGAACGAAACGAAACGAAACGCAAAAGGGGCAGCGTCCCCCACCCCGAGGGGCCCGGGAGGCGCGCTCTGGGGCGCGGTCGGCGCGGCACCCACCTGCGCGGGCCCCGCCAGCGGCGCGACGCTGTTGAGCTTCCTGAAGCCGCCGCGGGACTTGGCCGCCTTGTAGATCTTCCAGTAGACGAAGACCACGACGCACAGCGGCAGGAAGAAGGCGCCCACCGTGGAGAAGACGGCGTAGGAGGGCGCGCGGCTCACCTGGCACGCGCCGCTGCGCTCCGAGTACGTCTCGCCCCAGCCGAAGAGCAGCGGCGCCAGCGAGATGACCGCGGACAGCGCCCACGTGAGCGCGATCATCGCCTTGGCCGCGCGCCGGCGGGTGCGCAGCGTGTACTCCAGGTGGCGGGTGATGGACCAGTAGCGGTCCAGCGCGATGGCCATCACGTTCCAGATGCTGGCGGTGCAGCACAGCACGTCGCACGCGATCCACAGCTGGCACAGGCGGCGGCCCAGGTGCCAGCGCCGCCCCGACAGCTCGTGCACCAGGCTCAGCGGCATGACCAGCGCCGCCACCAGCACGTCCGCGACGGCCATGGACGCCACCAGGTTGTGCGGCACGCGGTGGAAGGTGCGCACGCGGAGGATGGTGGCCAGCACCAGCACGTTCCAGGCGAAGGTGGCCGCCACGAGCACGCCGAGGAAGGTCAGCAGCAGGACCCCGGAGACGGACAGCAGCGGGTGCCCGGGGCGCGCGCCGCCCGCGCCCAGGCTGCTGCCGTTGGCGGCCTCCGGGGAGGGCGCGGCGGAGGGCAGGTAGGTCAGGTTCATGGGGAAGTCCATGGCGGCGCGGGGACCCCGCGGCCGGGGCGGGGCGGGGGGGGGGGCGCTCCGGGCGGCGCGCGGCGAGGGGTCGGGGCGCAGGGCGGGCCCCCCGGCTGTCACATGCCGGCCGCCTCGCCCCGGCCGGAGCAGCCGCGTCCCCCGGAGCCGGAGCCGGAGCAGTCGGGGAGGCGCGGGCCCGGGCGCGCCCCCGGAGAGGCTGGTGCGTCAGCGCCGCGGCTCGCGCCCTCCGGCCGCCCCTCCAGGCGCGCGCGGCCGCCTCGGCTCGCCGGACGGAGGCGAGCCCGGCCCCGGCCCGCCCCCCTGCGCCCGCCCTCCCTGCGCCCGCCCTCCCTGCGCGCCCGCAGACCTGTCTCGCGGCGGGGCTCCTGCCTACGTCAGGCGTCAGCTGACAGGACCCCCGCCCCCCGCCCCCCACCTGCGCGCGGCCCTGGCGCTGGCCCCGGTGCTGCCGCGCGCCCGCCCCGCCGGCCCCGGCCCTCCCGGCGCTGTCCGCGGTGCTGGACCCCCGTGGGCCGCTCCCCGGCGCGGGCTCCCGGCTGGAAGCGAGTTTGCCGGTTAACCTCGTTCACCAGGCCACCCCGCCACATCCTGCCGGGGGCCTGGGCACCTGAGCGCGTTCCCAGCCCCGCGCCGCTGCTCGCACTTTGTCCAAGGGCCTGTCTGGGAAAGAGCAGCTGCTGCTTACACAGCCCCCAGCGTTTCCCCTAAAGGCCGTTTTCCTTTCAGGGGAGAAGGCGGGAGAGCCATGGCTCTGTCCCTGGAGGGGCCGGAGGTAAAACCTTTCCCCAGAATCATGAAGAAAGTGCAGTCTTTCCTGCGGGCCCTATTCAGTTTGCGTCCCGTGAAGGCAAGATGTCCATCCAAGTTGTTACAAAAGCGCCATCTCACTTGAGAAAGGGGGCGGCATTTAGCCCCGTCCAGACGCGTGAACAGCCACACGCTCAGTCCATAGTGCTGGGCAAGACACCAGAAGCTCCCGTCCAGAAGCCACACTTGAAGCCCTCACACGCGACAGAGCCAGGTGAGGCGGGGACAGGGCCCTCGGGGGCGGCTGCCGTAGAACCCGCCCGCGCGCCACAGGTGTCGGGAGGTCTTTGGGCGGCCGCAGATTTCATCGGAAACTGCTGTTTGAAAACGATTGATGGAAACGTGGCTTTGTACATGATTGTTTCAAACAGGATAAAACAAACACCAGGAGAAGGAGCCGAAGAGAGGGAACACGCCGCTGGAGCCCAGAGGCAAACACCTGTTGGAACATGCTGGTAAGTCGGCACACATGAACGTGGGGCCCCCAGAACCACCTCTCCAGGCGCCCCTTTAAGACAGCACTGGTGCTGCCTGCGTGGCCTGGCCACGTGGGGCTCTGGCCAAGAGGGTCCCTCGTGCTCACTTAGAATCAGCCAGAATGAGAGGTAAGCCCTGAAGCCACCTCTTTGGGAAGAAGGGCTCTGGGCGGGCCGCACGCCTGCAGGAAGGCTGCGGGAGGGCTCCACGGAGATCCTGAAAGGCATCGCTAAGGTCAGCACTTCTTTTATCATCGTATTAACATATTGTTTGCTTTTTTCACTCTGTGGGCGTCCTCACTGACGGGGCAAAAGTGATAGCGGGTAAGCTGTGGGCACCTGACCACCGGTAAGAGCGCTGGCTGGAAACAGTAGCGTCCGTCAGCGGCAGCCGCGCGGCCACGCACCCACAGGAAGGGCACGTCCCCACGGAAGACTATCCTAAGGAAGCAGCAAAGTGAGCAAATACTGTTCATCTTGACCTTCGAAGACACGTTTTGTTAATTCTCTGTAACAAACTAGAAGATACACTTACGCCCTTTATAAGATGCACTGGGAAAAAACACTGGTGTGATTAAGATGTGAGTGGCATTAGCTGCTTTTTAAATTAAACACTTTTTACACAAAGGAAGTGATGATAGCTAAAATATCATTACTCAGCCTTGGGTATTTGGCAAACATCTTCTCAAAAGTGAATGAAATGAGCCCCCATTTCGAGGAAAACAGTGGATAGTGTTGGTTGCCTAGAAAAAAATTGAGACTTCAAGTGAAAATTAGAATTTTTGAAAACTCCTGTCTGCCACTGCCACTGTGCCATCGATGGCTCCCCACGCCCGCAGGTCCTTGCGGTGGCGATAGTGGCCGGTGTGATCTTCTTGATGTTATCTGATGAAATATGCCAGTGTCTGGGAGGTCTGTGTGAGTAAGTGAGCCAGTATTATCTAAATGAACAGGGTGTGATGCTACAAAACCCCACGTGGACAAGAGCCCCATTTCAAGGGCAAAGCAGACGAGTGGCCTTTAAGCGAGAGCACGAACACCGGCGATATGAGTCCCGATTCCGCACTGCAGCGCGCCTTGAAGGAAGAGCCCCGTGTTGGAGAGCCGGAACTACCTGAGACGGTGCTTGGTTTGCCCTCCCTTTCTAGCCGCCTCTCTCTGTACGGTCAGGTTTCCTTCATTAAATGAAACGAAGTGACCGGTCACAACAACAGAGATGCCACACAGATCCTGAGATGCCAGCTGTCTCGAGAGTTGTGAAAAATGCTACGTAACGCCCCCCCTTTTGTTGTGGAAACTAGCTCTTCTTCACAAAGATGGCATTTATGTCGTGGATTTGTTTTTACTTTTAGCAGATGAATACACAAATGTGTTTAGAAGTTCTCCATTTAAATTTATGTCCCAGTAACTAAGTAGATAGAAGTCATGTGAGCTCTTTGGGGCACTCAGTAGTTCTGAGACCAAAGTCCCCAAAGGGTGCTGTCTTGGCCACTCGCCAGAGCGCCGCCCCGGCCTGAGGCGCTGGGTGACCACGTCTGATCTCCTGGATAACACGTGTTTTTCGGAGGGTGGGAAGTAGACCAGGGCAGACTCAGGAGGGGCAGCGTCGGGAGGTGTGGGGGCCAGTGACCCGGGGCACGCAGTGTGCGCCTTCCAGAGTGGAGGGAAATCACCACAGCGCAGCCCCCCCCACCCCCACCAAGGCGAGAGGCGTGCGCGAGCTGGCACTTGGGTGCCCTCACTCCCAAGAAGCCCGCTCTGACTGTACCTGGGGGCAGGAGGAGGCACAGCAGCCTCCCCCGTGGGCCTTACTTAGACTGGCAAACATTACCCGCCTGATGTGCCTCTCGCGGGAGAAGATGATGTAGATTTTATGGTGACGCCGATGAGAGGGTGGCAGGGCACAGGCCCCAGGGTTCAGGGAAGCCACGTCCCTGCGCAGAAGCACGACACCCAGGGGAGGGTCCAGCACCTGAGCGTGAGACACTAGGTGATGGGGAGGTGAGACTGTGGCCCAAAGTTTTGAGGCCCGCCCTCGAGACGGGGTGGGTCAGCAGCCGAGCACGTGAAGAGGAAGGGCCCGCCGCAGAGACGGGGGCAAGTGAGCACCCGCAGCCTGGCCCTCCCCGCGGTGCCCAGCTCTGCCCGCTCCGGCAGCGGGGCGGGAGATGGGCAAGCGCACTGGCAGCCTGGAGCTCCCAAACCCTGGAAAACTGATGGCCATGGCAGGCAGCATGGGGGGACAAAAAGGCAAGGGGAAGGTCTCTCTGGAAGAGACGTTATGTCAGGCTAGCAGGCCCAGGGTGTCCCCCCACGGAAGCAGCAGGGTGACAAGGGGAGGCCTCTCCTGGCCTGGGAGTGATGGTGGCCAGATCTGGGCTCACGGACATCCATGCAGTTGATGTGGCCCTAGTGATGGGGGGGCATCTGGCCTCCAGAAGTGATCGCTCACCGCCACCGCCATGACCGGTGACGCGTGGCCCCAGGGCCGTCCCCGGAGATGACCGCAGCGCCGCCCAACCTCTCCCCCAGGGCAGGCTGCTCCAGCCGGTGGAAAGCAGTGTGAAGGCTTCTCGAGAAGCTAAAACAGATCTGCGAAACCCCCCAGCAACTCCACTCCTAGGCGCCTGCCCCCAAATACAAACAATTTGAAAGGAAACCGACACGCCTGTGCTTCTCTCAGCACTGCATGGAAACAGCCTCAGTGCCCAGGACAGGTGTGTGGAGCAAGATGAGGTGTGCGGTCTGGCCACTCGGTGGAATACTACTCGGCCATCAAAAAGTCAACCTGTGCCATTTGCAGCAGCATGGATGGAGTTTGGGGGGATGATGCTAAGAGAAGCCAGAAGGAGGAAGACACATACCGGAGGGTCACTTGCATGTGGCACTTAGGAAGGGGCCCCGGTGCCCCCGGAAGCTGACCGTAGATCTGCAGCTCTTGGAGGGGGAGCGCACAGTGGACTGTGGAGGCTTATGGGTGCGTCCATGGCGAGAGGGCACGGTGACCACACCTGAGGGGGAGATCCTATTCTGTCCTTCAATGAAAAAAAAAATAGAAATTGGGAAACTGGAGGCTGAGGGCAGCTGGGCCAGTGAAGGACACAATCTCTTCCTTAGACCTGAGCCTGTTTTCAAACCTAGCCCCTGCTGGCTGAAGCGGCCGTCCCTGTGGGGAGGACCTGCCACGCCGTGGCCACACCACAGAGGGTGTGCCCGTCACCCCCGGGGCCCTGTGCAGGGGGAGGCACACCCCCACATTGCTGAGGATCCTGGCCAAGGGTCACTGGCCTCCGCGAGGCTTTCCTGCCCCCCCATCACCTGTGTCCCCGGGAGCCTGGGCAGTCGCACCTGCGCCCGGTCAGCCGGCCGGCCAGGTGAGTCTGCTGCGGTGGGGCACCCTGGAGCTGCCGGTGGGGCACCCTGGAGCTGCCGGCTCTTCTCCCAGGGCTGGGGCGGGAGGCGCCGTCTGCGCAGACCCCCGCTGCTCCGTCCACACTAGTGCACGCCTGGCCGGCCTCTGATGGCCTCCGGGCGCCCCCGGGGAGGGGGCTGCAGACCCCGACCCCGGACAGGGGAGACCCGCGGCAGGAGACCGTCTTGCGCGCAGCCGGGAGGCCCAGCGGAGCCCCAGGCTCCGGGGAACCGGGTCGGCGCCCGCGGCGGGGACTGGGCGGCGGGTGTGGACGATCCCGGCAGGGCGGGGCCGCGGGCGGGGCCGGCTGCGGAGGGGGCGGGGCAGGTCGCGGGCCGGCGAGGGGGCCGGGCTGGGGCTGGGGCGGGGGGAGGGGGCTGGGACGGGGGGGGAGGGGGCTGGGGGGGGGGAGGGGGCCGGGCGGGGGGGAGGGGGGGGGGAGGGGGCCGGGCGGGGGGGGAGGGGCCGGGGGGCGCGGCTGGGGCTGCAGGTGAGGCCGCGCGTCCCCTCCAGCCCGAGCCGAGCCCCGAATCTGGGGCCGGTTCCGGCGCCCCCTCCCGCTCGCGGGCGCCCTGGGTCCGAGGCGGCGGGCGGGCCGGGCGCGGGAGGGGCTCAGCCGCCCGGGGCTGCCGCGGGGCCAGCGCCCTCCAGCCCCGTCCCCGGGAGGGGGTCCCCCGCCCCCGCCCCCCTCGCCCGCGGCCGCCCTGCGCCCCGCGGCCGCGCGTCCGGGACGTGGGCGGGCGGGGCTCCCTGGGCCTGGCCCGTGACCCCTCCCGGACCGGCAGGGTTGGGGGGCAGGGAGCGGCCTCGGACGCGGGGTCCCGCCCGGACCGCCCTCTCCAGGCGGCAGCGCGGCCCTGGCCCCCGCCCTGGTCGTCGGGGTCGGCTCGGGGCTCGCGCCCCGACCGGACTTGTTGAGGGGCCTCTCGGGCTCCCCCAAGCCCGGCGGCCTCCTCGGCCGCTTGGGGACCCGGAGAAGCTGCCCGAAGTTTCCAGACGCGGCCCGACCCGCGCCCCCTCCGGCCGCGGAGCCCGCACCCCGGGACGCCGCGCTGGGGGCGCGGCTGCTCCGCCTCTGGGGGCGCCATTCCCTGGGCGGGGCCGTGCGCCCCCCACGGCTGCCCTCGGGTGGCCGGGGCGGGAGCCGAGGGAGGGGGTGTCTCCCCGGACAAGTCACCCCGAGCGAGATGGTGACGCCGCCGCGGGCGCCGGAGGGGCAGCTCCCCGGGCCGGCGCTGGCCAGTTCCAGGCCGGCCGCCGGGCCGCGGGCGGGACCCCCAGACCGCCGCTGCCACCCCTTGTCTTCCACCAGCGCCTGCCTCCCGGGGCTGCGGCTCGTGTCCCGGGCGCAGGTGGGGGCTTCGCTCGGCCGCCTGCCCCCGCGGCGGTTCCTCCGTCCAGGGGGTGGACGCCCTGCTCCGGCCAGAGGCCCCTTAAGCCCGCAGCGCCTCACGAGGCCGCTCCCCCCGCGGGGATGAGAGGGCGCGGCAGCTTCACTGGGGAGGGGGTCTGGGAAGCAGGGTGGGGGCGGCGGGGTGTCTCCCTGGACGCAGCGCCCAGCGGAGGTGGCTCCGCCTTCAGGATGGGCCCTTCCTCGACTCTCCCGCCCCAGGGGCCGACCCCTGGCCCAGAGCGTCACCCTCAACCACCCCGGCTTCTGGCGGCCAAGGCGGTGCAGGGTGTGAGGGGGAGGAGGCACCCCGCTGTCCTGGGTCTGCCAAGAGCTGCCCCCCATCCCCACAGAGCTGCTCAACAGCCCCAGCACCCGCAGGGTCCGGCGTCCTCAGCCCCTGGTCAAGGGCCGCCGTCCGTGCGAGACCTGACGGAGGCTGCACCCTCCGGCCTCCTCAGGGCCAGGGCCCGTCCGCAGGGCCCCACCTGCCCCTCCTGCTGCAGCCCCATTCCAGACCCCTGACCCATAGCCTCTGTCTCAGGGCACCGGGGCTTCCCCTGTAATGCCGAGGACGCAGCGTCCCCCACGACCACAAGCACCCCCATGCCAGAGTGTGTGTGCGCGCGCGCACACACACACACACACACACACACACACACACACACGCCTTGCACAGCAGGCTGCTCCCCAGCAAGCAAAGACCACAGTTGACTTCCTGGAGCGCGTGACCCAGAGGGGCCACCCCAGAAATACAGGGAGGGGAGGGCTGAGCTCCCAGTTGGGTCTCCCAGCGCCTCCGAGGAATTTCCAAGCCGAGGCTGGAGGCCAGGCCGGAGGGGGGTGCAGGGCGGCGAGAGCCCTCAGGTCAGCGGCACGACTGTGCCCAACCTGCTCCACGTGAGCACTTGAAAGAAAATTCGGTACAAGACAAGGGTCTTTTTCTCAATTCTCCAGGAACGTAAAGTAAAGGACAAAGACAGAAAAGTAAAAAAGAAAAGAGAAAGTTCATGTAACACGTACGTGGAAATGTGAAGAGTTAAAAATAGCCACAAGTCGAATAATATGAATTTAAATGCATCTGAATACAGGAAATAAATTTTCCAGGCAATCACAGAAGATGATCTCCCCAGAGCAGAAAGCCAGCGCGAGCCGCGCGTGTGGTCGGGGGCCCGGGAGGACAGACGGAGGCCAGGCCTGGGGCTCCAGGAGACGGGCCGCCTTCTCGCTCTAGAGAAGAACCGGCAGATTGTTTTTAAGATTTATTTATGCACACACGAGCTGGGGTGCAGGCCAGAGGAGTGTGGGGGGAGAGGACTCCCCAGAGACAGTGGGGACTGGAACAGGGATCCGCCGACATCCACTGCTGAGGGGAGCGGGGGAGACGGGAGAGGTCCGCCGCGCTTGTGGGCCACTGCCTGGCGGGGGTCGGACTCGTGCTGCAGAGGCTGCGGACAGCCTCAGAGTGCCGAGCCGTAACCCCCGTGCCACCAGCGAGGCCCCAAGAGTCAGCGGTTTTTTGAGAGGAGTTGAGAATAGCAGCTGAATGCTGCAGACAGGGGTTCAAGCCCTTAAAATTGAGGGGCAATTGTTTTCCGTCTGGAATTCCACATTC